GGCTGCAATATAACAAAGAGTGAAAAATTTAAGGGGGTCTGAATACTTTCCGTACCCACTGTATATAGCTTATTTACAGTTTTGTACAGTTTACCTCCACACTTTAGTTTACATGGTCGGTGCTATTCAATCTGGTTTCTGCTAGCTTCACCACAGAGACTTTACTGTTCAAATATAAGTGTCATGTGTGTGTCAAATTCAAATGGGCAAACTGCTTATTATCACCTCAATAGAGCGGCGAAAGTGTTGAGCTACAGTCGCGGGCGGCAGACACCGGTCCGGTGTGGTCCAGCTGTTCTTTTGCGCTGCGCGGTTTAATCAGGTAACGTAGTGCCGTTTCATCACTTGGTTTTTAGTGTTTGTTTCCCATTCGCTACAGTAAAGCCAAGGCAATTAAAAGATAGCCGCAACTCTAGTGTAAATGAGTACAAAGACATTTTTATCGCTCATAACTTTTGGACTAAACTAGCACAGACACTAATATGTGGGGGCGTGGTTGGATTTCTGCAATTGGCAGACCGGGAAAAGTTTGGGTGCTCCCGATGGCCAATCAATTCTAGGTCTACTTTTCCTTTCCTCCACAGCCAATCACGTCGGGCCCCCTCAATCCACGGGCCCTGGGGCTTCAGCCCTGCCTAGCCCTTATGTTAATCCGGCCCTGCACATGAGACAGCAATAAAAGTCATTAAAGTCATTCTAAAACCATGGTGGAGATTTTCTACAGAATGACACGCCATATGATGGATATTAAAAAATAATATGAAATAGGAATAACATGTGGCTAAGTAAATGATTGCATAAATGCTGCTGCAAGCAAGTACAGGAACTTGCTACTGCCAATACATAAGCTGATATGGTGCTGTGAGTATTTAAGACATACTGCTGATGCACAAATAGCATATAAAATAACCCGTCGCAGATCTATACAGGTGGAGCTGGGGAAGATGGAGGTTTTCAGAGGAATTCTGAAAGCGTGCTGCAATGCTCAAGCGAATGCTGATCAGCCATTTAAATGTAAAGCATCAAGCTCATTGGCTGTGTATGCAACATGAACCAATCAGCTTGTGACAAGTCTTTTAATGCTAAGAATATCATCAGTTACGTTACGGACCCATCAGCCTCTAGAGTTTCATGACAGAACTTGGTATATGTGTATATATATATATATATATATATACACACAGTATATATATATTCAGTATATATGCTATATATACACATAAATCTCATTTATACTATAAATACACATAAGAACATATAAGGTCAATTTGAAAGTCATACTTTCTCTTTGTTACCTTGTTACCCTTCAGAGTGATTTTTATTAGCTTTCAGCCGATGGCAGTAAATGTTTATTAGACAGCCTGACTAGACAACGCAGCACACACAGACAAACACACAGGCGCATTGTAATTACTTGATTGCTTAGTGTGATTCCTAGCATGTGGTTCTAGTTAAGATCCATCTGTCTTTGTGCATGTATTTTGATTTAGATTTTATCTGGGCTCATTTTATACCCCAAAATAATAAAAGCCTGTCCATGCATATGAGAGGCTCTAGTTAGTGGCGGTTGCTAAGGCAAGCATTGTTATTATTATCCCTCATACTTAGAGAGAGGGTTTTAAATAAATGTACCTGTAAGCACTCTTTTTGCTACAGTCATGATACTTCAAATCATACGGCTTGTTTGACGAGATGTGTGCCATTACTTTTTTGGACTTTTCTGGGTTGGATGTTTGCTTGGCGTATGATAAAAATATCCTATGTATACTGGAGGATTTGAGTCATATCTAGAGACCAAAATATCACAGAGACTTGGAGGTAGGCTCTTTTGACTTGCAACCACTCAGAACACCCTATAGCATCCGCATAGAAACTTACTAAAAACCACATTTAGACACATTATCCACCATGTAGCAACACCCTAGAATCGTTGCATAACATTTTTTACAGGCAGAATGTAAAAAATCTAGTCTTGAACATGCTGTAGTCCAGTTACTCTCAAACATTCAAGGCAACCCTCTACGCACACCTTGGCAATACAATCGCCATTGGCTAATTTATGTCCTCATTTGTCACAAAAACGCGCACACACACACACGCGTTTACTTAGCAGGGGACATTACATAGACTTCGATTTGTTTTTATATACAGATACTTTTTAACCTAAACCCACCCCTACCCCTCCCTGACATGGCTGCATCAACACTACTGCTGTTCCTGAAACCACGCCTTCTTCCTTTGCGTGCACATTTGGGCGACATTATGCTAATATTTCCACATATTTGAACAAGCGTGTTTGAACGAGCCATTTTAGGTAGGCGTGGTTGACTCTTCACTTTTATAAAGAATAAAATTTATAAATGATTTACATTACAAGCTTTTAGAATGTTCTACTTTTGATCGGCCCTTTGCACATCTGTGGAAGAAAAACACACTACACTACAGTAACATTTAGAAGTTTTGCAAGTCAATGCAAACACACTCTTTTTTTGCTGTTATATGTTAAAAATTCTCTCATATGTTAAAAGATCTTGAACTGCTCTGTCTGGTTTCAATATACTGGCATCATGCACAAAACTGAATGCTGAGCAGTGTTTGTGGAAAGCAGACTGCTTCAGGAAATAAAGCTAAAGGAATTGAAGCTCACAGACTGTAAGGACTATAATAGCTCACCTCTTATACACACGTGTACTCTTTTTAGGCACTTGTAGATGTATCAGCATGGTGATACCAGTGGGTACCTGAAAGAGAACATTACATTTGTAATCAGACATTATAAACCATGAAAAATTACAGTTTGAATAACATACTTTTCTGATTTTTTTATAGTGAAAATTTCCAGGAATGTGCTGGAAAACACTTGAGGGCACATGAGAAAAACAATGCTGTTTTCTGTATATTGTTTATAGAATCTACAGATCTACAGGTAAGTACTGATGGAAGTAGAAGGAAATCTGATGATGAATGAGAATAACAGAATGCATAAGATTGGCAGAATTATTGGTTTTGTAGTCAATTACACACAATCATAGACTGTCAAAAGCAAAAAGCTTTCCACAGTACATATAGAGCTGAGCTGCCTCTTCACTAACATCTACAGCATCCTTTTTACTCCTATCTGAAAATGACTTGCTTTCATTATCTACAATCACAGCTTGTCATGTGGACACTCTGATGTAGCTATATGACCTAAACACAACTGCTGTACAGAGCAACTGCTGTACAGAGACTCATTTTATTTTAGGTTAATTTGCTGTGATTACATGGGCTGTGCTTCAGTGAGTGTGGTGGGACCTGCGTGGTTCATAAATGAAATTGTCTGGAAGATGATATAATAACTTTAGCTCTCTCTTCCAAGCACTTTTGCAGTTAAAGGACATGTCAAACAATACCCATAATCTCAACTTCAAATCACAACCAGTCCAGTTATTTTACAACTAGCAACATCTTTTTTTTAGTCTAAGTTCCAAAATAAATTCCACTTACACCTCGAAGCTAAATCATGTCTTTTCCAGTTTTCTTTCACATTGAAATGCAGAAGAAAAGACATCTCATAGACATCTCACATCTCGAAAAAAAAAAAAAAAATTAGTTGTGGTTATCATGGTTTTTGACACATGTTATCTTGTATTCTGAAAAATAAGTTTATATGATGACTGATTTAATACATTTTTTTATTTTACATTAAAGGGGTCATATGATGCGATTTCAATTTTTCCTTTCTGTTTGGAGTGTTACAAGCTCTTGGTGCATAAAGAAGATCTGTAAAGTTGCAAAGACTAAAGTCTCAAATCCAAAGAGATATTCTTTATAGTTAAGAGTCAGCCACGCCTACCTAAAACGGCTCGTTCTAACACGCCCCCACATGTCTACGTCACTATGTGGGAAGATTTGCATAATGCCGCCCAAATGTTCACGCAAAGAAAGAAGGCGTAACTTTTATTCTCACTGTAGTATTGTTGTTGCCGCTGCCGCCATTTCGTGAAGACGCTGTTTCATTGTGAAAGCGAAACTACTTTGTTTGGTCTTCCAAAAGAGGACGATATCTGCTTCGTCATGC